GGGATCCTCCCCGGAGGTTTTGGGGGGCCCCACGCGCAGACAGCCCCGAGGGGGTGACTCTGGGGTGACGCTGAACCCCCCCGAGGTGGTGACGGGAACCTGGGGGGGGACCCCGAGACTGCTGGGGGTGGCACGGTGGGCACGATGCCAGGTGGGTCAGGGACGGGGGTGGCTCTGGGTGGTCACAGCCCCCATGGGGTCACCACAGGCCCCGTGGGGTGGTCACAGTTCTCACAGAGTGGTCACAGCCCCCATGGGGTCATCACAGCCCCACGGAGTGATCCCACTTCCCAGGGGGGTGTCACACTCGCCCTAGGGTGCTCCCAGTAAACGGTGGGACATAACCCCATCCCTGTCCCCAAGATGTGCCATCACGGGGACCAGGATCCAGCCCCGTGCCAGCCGTGGTGTCCCTGGGAAGGTTTGGCACCCCCGGGACCGGCTGGCACCCCCGGGAACAGCCGGCACGGCGCTGCCCACCTGCTCCCCGAGGACAAGGGCACCTGCCTGCCTGGCAGAGATTCCTATCGGGATTATCGCGACGGGATTCCCGTGCCCGCGGTGCGTGCCAGGTCACGGCGTGCCCGGAGGGAGCAGTTTCCTCCCCGGCAGCAGGAATTACTGTCGGGACTCGACCTCTCCGCGACGCGGCGACGGAGCTGCCGGCTGGGAGCGGGGTTAAATGGGAGCCGTAATTTGGGGTTTAATTAGCCCCGCGTTAATCTCGCCGCCGTATCTGCTCCCGGCCGGGCCCGGCTGTCACTCAGGGCATGGGGAAACCTGCCTGGCACGGAGCGGGATGGGGCGCGTGGAGGCAGCGGGAATGGGGGCGTGGGGATGGAGAGGGGAGGGATGAGCGCAGGGACACGCGGCTGGGACAGGGAGGGGACATTGGGGACAGGGACACCGCTGCACTGGGGACAGGGACACGGCTGCACTGGGAATGGGGCGCAGGGATGTGGAGGAGATGGGGAATGGGGATGCAGATGGAATGGGGGGATGGATCGGGGATGGGGACAGGGACCCCGGGCTGCTCTGGGGACATGGATCATGCAGGCACATGAAGGACAATTCCTGGCTGAAATGGGGACAGGGACACACAGTGGCACTGGAGACAGGGATGGGAATGGGCACATGGATGCAGTGGGAAGGGGGATCGGGGACAGGGACACTGGGCTGCACTGGGGACGTGGGGACACACAGTGGGCCTGGGAACGGGGACACGTGGTTGCTCCAGGGACAGGGATCTGGGCTGGGAAGGGGCCCGGGCACAGGGCCAGGCTGGCAGTGAGGAGGTGCCACAATTCCCGTAACTGAGCGTGGGCTTGGGCACAAATCCCGTTGGCTCAGGGCACGGGGAGGGTGGCAGGGGCTGGGGACAGGGACAGCAGGGCTGGGCACCGCAGGGGGTGGCGTGTCCTCACCCCCTGTCACAGCTCTGGGTCCTCTGGGCCCTCCAGGCCCCCCTGGTGAGGCCTGACCGTGGCCCTCACTGTGTGTCCCCATGTCCCCATGTGCCCATCCCAGCCTCACTGTGCCAACCTGTGTGTCCCTGCTAGAAGGTGGCAATGCCACGTGGGATGTCCCTGACAGCCTGAGCTGAGCTTTTGGGGTCTCCCTGGTCCCCTTCTGGGTGTCCCCTGGCCCAGTGCCCCGTGAGTGTCCCCTGGCAGTGCTGGGTCCCTCTCTGGGGTGCAGGGACAAGTTTGGGGTCGGTGCCACATCCCACACAAGGCCATCCCCGTGTCCTTGGGGACACCTGTGCTGCTTCCCGGGGCTTTTCCAAGCAGGGCCGGAGCCAGAGCCCATCCCAAGGGTGCCCACGGGTGTCCCCCACCCCCAAATCCCCCCTTCCTTCCACCCCAGGATGGAACCCCGGGGGTGAGGGGGGTCTGCCCGACCCCAACCCCCTCAGCTGCGCCCTGGGGGACCCCCGGGTGGGTCTGGGGGCGCGGGGGCGGCGGTGCCAGGCTGTGAGTAAGCGGGGAGGGAGGGGGGTAGGGAGGGAGGGAGGAGGGTAATTAAAGGGAGGCGCTCCCGCCGCAGCAGGTTCCCACAAATGGGAGGCCCCGCGGCCACAGACACGGCACAACAAAGCACCGGGCAATTATTTGGCTCCACTGGGAGCTGCTGGGCCCGTGGGGGGGCTGGAGAGCCAGCTGGGCACCCCCCGGGCTGGCAGCGCTGGCACCGGGGCAGGGGGGTCGTGGGGTGGGGTGGGGAGGACGCCCCTCTGGAGGGTTTGTGGGATGGGTGGGGGGGGACACTGGGATGGGGGGAGGGATGTGGTGGTGGGAACTGGGCACCCCTGACCCCCCTCTGGTACCCTGAATTCTCCCCCGAGCACCCCAACCTCTGTGAGGGGGCTGGGGACCCCCTCAAGCCCTCTGGAGCCCTGACGGGGATAGAACACCTCAAACCCCTCCAAGAACCCCAAACCCCCTGACGGGGATAGAACACCTCAAAACCCTCCAAGAACCCCAAACCCCCTGGACATCCCAATCTTTGTGACTGGACCCCCACCGGGGGGAGTTGGGGGCCCTTCGGGAGCCACTGCTGGGCGCCACCAAGTCGGGGACCCCCCGCCCCCCCCCCAAATCCTGCGAGGCGTCAGTGATGAGTGGGGGGGTCCCAAGGGGTCTGTGATGGGTGAGGGAGGTCTGGGGTGCTCCGGGGGCCGGTGAGGAGGTTTGGGGGTTCCCTGAGGAGTCGGTGATGGGGATGGGGGGGGTCTGGGGGTGTCCCCAGGGATCGGTGATGGGAAAAGGGGGGTCCAGGCCCCCCCCGGGTGTTCCCCGGGACTCCCCCCACCCTCGGGGGGACCCCGTGACGTCATCAGCCCCGAATGGCTCCCCCCCAACCTTCCACCAATCACAGGCGCGGTTCTGCATCCTCGCGCCTCCCATTGCCCGATCTTGCTGTCAATCAACTACTGCCACCAATCGGAAGGCGCGTTTCATTCTGGTCCCGCCCACGATGAAGTTTCACCCCCCCGCCTGCTGTCACTCAACCAGCGGCCGGTCACTGCCTGGGCTTGACCCCATTGGCTCCATGACCTGTCAATCAAAAATCCGCCCTTCCATTGGCTCTCCACCTCCGTCCGTCACCCCGCTCTCCGCGTCCTATTGCACGGCGGAGCTGCCCATCAACCGGTGACCCACAGCGGATTGGCCGGCCTGCCGCCATCTCTGCTCCGATTGGGCAGCGCTGCGGAGAGCCGGGCGGGGATTGGCTGCGAGGCCGCGGCGGGGCGGGGCGCGCAGGGCGGTGCCCGGAGGACGAAGATGGCGCCGTGAGCGGGTCGGAGCCGCCGCCGCCCCCCCGGTCAGTGCGGGCCGAGCGGGGCCGGGGGGCGGCGGGGGGATGCTGTGGTGGGGCCGGGCGCCCCCCGGCGGGACCCGCGGCCTGCCCAGACCCAGGTCCCGGCCGGGAGGGCCGCGCTTCCGGCGCCGTCGGCCCGGTCGGGGGCGGGCCCGGGCCCTCGGACCCGCCTCCCCCGGGACCCGCCCGGAGGGGCCGGAGGGGGCCCGGGATGGGGAGGGAGGTGCGGGGTCGTGGGGGGTCACCCGGGGATGGAGGGGGGAGTGTCAGGTCTGGGGATCCCCGGGCCGAGGATGCCCGGGATGCTCGGGGGGTCCCCGGGGGTGGGAGGGTCAGTTCTGGGGGGTCCCTGGGCTGGGGGTCTTCGGATCGCCGAGGGGGTCTGTGGTGATGGGGGGTCAGGTCTGGGTTTAAGGAGGGAATTCATCCCCCTGGTGGGATGTGGGCAGGTTCCCACGGTGGGATTCCTGCGCTGTGCAGCACAGCAGGGTCTGAGCCGTTCAGGAAAACCTGGATTGTTGCCGCTGGGACTTCCCAGGGAGGGGGTTGTGGTGGCTTTGATCCCCTCAATCCCCCTCCTGGGAAACCCTTTCCAAAGCAAGGAGCTGCTTCCAACCATCCCAGTTCCCTTCATTCCAGCTTGTCCTCTTGTTCCTCCTCAAAACACCCGGGAATTTCAAAATTCAGCCTCTGGATGTTGGGAAGTTCCTGGAATCCTGCGCTGTCCCAGGATTTAAACTGGCCCCTCCCAAATCCCAGATTATTCCAAGATTCCCTGTACGGGGGGATCCCCCTGGATCCTGTCCCTCGTTATTTCTCCGGGATAATGGGATCTGGGCCTTGCTGTGTCCCTGCCCTGCTGTTAATCCCCAGCCTGGCCCTAATCCCGCTCAAAGGGAGGGTGCAGCCCTGCAAAATCCCGGCTTTTCTGGGAAGAAAGCTCCCCCTTTTCCGGGAAAAGCCTTCCCTTTCATCCCAGGCCAGCGCTGGGCACCCGTTCCATCATCCCCAGGGGGCTGCAAGGGAATGAGAATTCCTTTGCCAAGGAGTGAGGCGACTCATCCCCAATTCCTGGGCCCTTCCAGGAGCCTGGGACTCCCACCTGGCTCTTCCCAGGGATTTGTGTGCTGTGGGAGAGGAGCCTTGGAGCTGGTGCTGGCCCAGGGAAGGCTCCACGTTCCCAGGCTCCACATTCCCAGGTCCTCCCTGCCACCTTATCCAGGGAATTGTTTCTGGAGCAGCTGCTGGATGGGGAATTCTCCAAGGGACACGTCAAAGCTGAGACGTGTTCAAATCCAGAGCAAAAGATTTAGCCAAGCTGGGAGGATTTGGGGGCCTCTTTGCCTTGGTTTAAACCTTTAAAAAGAAACTGTGTTTAAAAAAACCCAGGAATTTTTCCCAAAAACTCTTGTCCTTTTGGATTCCCAGAGTTGGAAAACCAGGGTGGATTTTGGCTTTGTGGGCACCAACCTGCTGCTGCTTTGAAGGATCCCCTTTTTTTGGGGGGGGAAGAGGGTGGCTTCAGGAATGGGCTGCAGGAAAACGAGGGTCTGGCAAATGAGGAAAACACGCTGGGAATGCTCTTTGGGAATTCCCTTGGGTGGCAGACACGGATGGGGAGGGGCTGGTGCAGCTCTGCAGCCCCTTGGACATGGCCCCCCCCGCAGGCCTGGGGGGTCCCAGGAGCATCCCCTGGGATTGGGGAGCCTCAGGATGGGCTCTCTGGGCTGATCCATGTGCTGATCCATGGGCTGATCCATGTGCTGATCCATGTGCTGATCCATGTTCTCTCCCAGCAGCTCCAGGGCCAGCATGGCCGCGACTGCCGCCGTCAGCCCCAGCGAGTACCTGCAGCCCGCGGCCTCCGGCACCCAGGTGAGCCCAGGGCAGCCTTGGCACCCCCTGGGACATGGGGACATGGCCTGGGATGCGGCAGGAACCGGGAATGGCCGCTGGGAATGTGGCAGGGGAAAGATTGGGGGCAGGACAGGCTGGGGAGCCGCGCTCGGGGCTTCTGCCCACTCCTGACAGCAGCTCTTCCACAGGGTTGTTCCAGGGTTTATTCCCAATCCCAGCTCTTCCAGAGGGTTCTTCCCCCTCCTTGCTCTCTGTTTCCCTGGAGGATCTCTCAGGTCCATATCACAGGGTGGTCTTGGAATTCGTGCTGAGGGGGTGTGATGGGGGTGGGTGGATTTTGGGGTGTTTGGCGCAACTTCCCATCCCTAACGTCCCTGTTTTTCCCGTTCCCAGGACTCCCAGCCCTCTCCCCTGGCCCTCCTGGCAGCCACATGTAGCAAGATCGGCCCCCCCGCCGTGGAGGCCGCCGTGACCCCCCCGGCTCCCCCCCAGCCCACGCCCCGCAAGCTGGTGCCCATCAAACCCGCCCCGCTGCCCCTGGGCACCGCCAAGAGCAGCATCGGCATCCTGTCCTCCAAAGGGAACCTCTTCCAGATCCAGGGCTCCCAGGTGGGCACCTCCTACCCGGGGGGGCAGCTGGTCTTCGCCATCCAGAACCCGGCCGTGCTCAACAAGGGCTCCCGCTCGTCCTCCTCGTCCTCCTCCTCGCCCTCCTCGTCCTCCTCCTCCTCCTCCAGCCTGCAGTACCAGGCGGTGCCCGGCGGGGCTCAGGCCATCCAGGTGCAGCCCAACCTGGCCAACCAGATCCAGATCATCCCGGCCACCAACCAGGCCATCCTGGCACCTTCCTCCTCCTCCACCACCTCTTCCTCCTCCTCCTCCTCCTCCTCCTCCTCCTCCTCGTCCTCCTCCTCCTCTCACAAGCCCGTGCCCATCAAACCTGCCCCGGCGCAGAAGGCGGCGGCGCCGGGCGCGGCCGGCGTGGTGAAGTTCCCGGGTGGCGGCAACGTGACCCTGAGCCTGGCGGGCAGCGGCGTGGTGTGCCCGGAGCAGGGCGCCCCGGCCCAGCTGCTCGCGGACAGCCCTTCCAAAGCGGGCAAAAAGCCCCGCAAAAAGGCCGCGTCCCCCGCCCAGCCCCCCGCCGTGGCCGTGGCCGAGCAGGTGGAGACGGTGCTGATCGAGACGACGGCCGAGAACATCATCCAGGCCGGCAGCAACCTGCTGATCGTGCAGAGCCCCGGCGCGGGGCAGCCGGCCGTGGTGCAGCAGGTGCAGGTGGTGCAGCAGCCCAAGCAGGAGTCGCAGGTGGTGCAGATCCCGCAGCAGGCCCTGCGCGTGGTGCAGGCGGCCTCGGCCACGCTGCCCACCGTGCCCCAGAAATCCTCCCAGAACTTCCAGATCCAGGCGGCGGAGCCCACTCCCACCCAGGTACCCCCTCCCGGTGCCCTTCCCCTCGGCCTCGGGGTTTGGGGACTGGAGGGCTTTGAAGGAGGAGCTGAAGGGGTTTTGAAGGAGGAACTGAAGGGTTTCGTGAGGGTTCCGAAGGAGGAGGAACTGAAGGGGTTTTTTTGAGGGTTTTGGAGGAGGATCTAAAAGGTTTCGGGCTCATCGCAGGATTCCCGTCCCTGGAAGTGTCCCTGGCCTGGTTGGATGGAGCTCAGAGCAAGCTGGGGTGGGGGAAGGTGTCCCTGGGTGGGTGGAACTGGTTGATCTTTAAGATCCCTTCCAACCCAAACCATCCGTGATTCCACGATCCCTGGGGTGGGTGTGGGTATGGGGGGGAGAGGAACCATTCTCAACCTCACCCCCCTTCTCTGCCCCCCTCAGGTCTACTTCAAAACCCCCTCAGGGGAGCTGCAGACCGTGGTGCTCCAGGAGGCCTCAGCCATGGCCGTGGCTCCGTCGGGATCGTCCTGCAGCAGCCCCGTGTCCCGCAGCCCTGGCCCGGGGGGCTCCCGGAAACCCCAAACCCGCAAGGAGCGCCCGCTGCCCAAAATCGCCCCGGCCGGGGGCATCCTGAGCCTGAACGCTGCCCAGCTGGCAGCTGCTGCCCAGGCCATGCAGACCATCAACATCAACGGGGTGCAGGTCCAGGGCGTGCCCGTCACCATCACCAACGCCGGAGGTGGGCTGGGATCCGCCCCGGAGCGGGCTGGGAAGGAGGGACAGGGACACGTGGGGGGGATCCCCTCCTGGAGCACATCCCGAGGCTGGGGGGGCTGTGCCACGTCAGCAGCTCCCGTGGCTCCCTGAGTGATTCCTGGGGTGGGTTTTGGGTGGTCCCAAGCCCATCCTGGTTGGCTGGGCCGGGGAGGGAACGTGGCAGAGGATCAGGAGCATCAGAGGCTTCCCGGGAGCCCAGCCCAGCTCCATCTCCTCAGAGCTCTGCACAGGGACACTGAGCTGTGCCCAAGGCCTCAAGAGGTCTTTCTTTTGGGGTGTCTTTTTTTGAATTTTTTTTTCATGTGTCTTTTTTTTTTTTGAGTTTTTTTTTTTTTGAGGTGTTTTTTTTTTGGGGGTCTTTTTTTCTCCCTGGCCAGGCAGAGGAATGTGGTGCAATGGCATTACCCCCCCTGCAGCCTCCCCTGCCGTGGATCACATTTCCAAATCCCAATCCCAGTGCTGGGACATCTCCCTACATGCCCTGGGAGCGATGGCTGCTGGTTTGGGCTCCGGCAGCTGACCCAGCAGAGGGAATTCCCACAGTCCTGTCCTTCCAGCTCCATAACGAGGGATCACCATTCCCAGGGAGTGAACTCACCTCCTGGGATCTTTCCTTAAGCCAAAAGCAGCCAGACATGGCCCAGGAGCCACAGGGAGCCCTGGTGCACCTCAGGCCCCCATTCCAGGACAGTCATGTCCCTGCAGCCACCGTGTCCCTGCTCCTGCCCCCAAAGCCCCCCGGGGAGCCGAGGGGAGGGAGCTGTGTCTGCGGGAAGTTCCATCTCCCTCCCGATCCAGCCAGACCTGCTGCCTGGCCGTGGCTCCTGTGCCAGCAGCACCTCGGTTTGGCACTGGGAAGCTGTTCCTTCTTGCTCCACTAAAGCCCATGTCAGCAGAACATGGGCTGTGTGGTTTCCTGCTCCACCTTTGGCCGCCGTTCCCCCGGGATTGGCTTCCAGGGGGGGTTTTAATTGGAACGATTTAATTGGGGGAGGGAGATGCCGTGGGCAGATGCGGAGGCGACTGGTAGGACCTGCTGGCTGTGTAAGGAGCTGAGTCGGGTCTCAGCGAGGACATTCCCACCTCCAGAGCCACCAGAGAGCTGCTCCAACCCCCGGCCTGGCGCTCCCTTCCCGGCGGATATCCCGGGAAGGTGTCCCAGCTCTGCCCGCGCTCCCCCTGTCCGGCATCACCCCTCTGCTTTGCTCTGCTGCCAAATCCCACTCCTCCTTTCCCTCCTCCCGCTGCTCCTGCTGCTGCTGCTGCCCTGGGAGCAGCGATCCCGCTTTGCTGACGCCGATCCCATCTTCTTCTTTCCAGCGCCCGCCGCGGCTCTCCGGGTGCCGCCTCGTCTCCGAGCGCCGGGGGCCTGGAGCGGCCCCTGAGGGCCCGGGGTAAGTCCCGTTCTTTTGCTCAATATATTGCACGTTTTTTCAAAGTTTCTTTTTTTATTTCCTCCTCTGAGAGCCCGTTTTCCTGGAAGGGTCTGAACCGAAAACTTTGAAAAACCGCACAGTATATTCAGGAAAAAGGGACTTACCCGGAGGGGAGTGGGAGGGTGGGGTGGGGTGGAGCTGTGGCTGTGCTGCATGTGGGGCGGGGTGGGGTGGCTTTTGGGGTGTCCCGTGCTCCTGGGGGGTCTTCCCTCCAGCCAACCCCTGCAGAGGGTTTGGCAGGAGCCCTGGAAGGAGCGTGGCTGGCTGCTCATCCCCTTTTCCTCCCCCAGGCCAGCAGCAGCTGACGGTGCAGAACGTGTCCGGCAACAACCTGACCATCAGCGGGCTGAGCCCCACCCAGATCCAGCTCCAGATGGAGCAGGCGCTGTCTGGAGAGATCCAGCCCGGGGAGAAGAGGAGGAGGATGGCCTGTACCTGCCCCAACTGCAAGGACGGGGAGAAGAGGTGAGTGGGAAGCAGCAG